CCCCATTGCTTAGTACAACATCCACAAGCTCAATAAACCTAGAGATGTCAATCTGGTGCCTGAATGGAGTCTTTACCTCTACATTTTAAATTCTTTGGCAGGGAAGGTACTCTGAAGGCTACAGAAAGAAAAAACTTGGATACTAACCCTGACACAAACCCATAGACCTACAGTCTGTCCTGCCTACAAGATATGCTGGGGCAATGGTGGTGTAGAACTTGCAGGGATGGCCAACCAATGCTTGGTTTAAGGTGAGGTCCATACTATGAGAGGGAGCCCATGCCCTATACAACTGGGGTGGCTAGGAACCAAAGACTGGATAGGCCAGAGATCTAGGGTAGAGCCAAACATGAGTGGCAAAAAAAATGAAAACAAAACAAAACAAAACAAAAAAACCACAATGAAATGATTCTTAATGATATTCTGCTATACTTATAGATCAGCACCTAGTCAAGTCATCATCACAGGCACTGCTGAAGCATGATCCTAATTAGTCTTAACAAGAAAAACCCAGAGTCAGATATTGGGGTGAAAGCTGAAAGATCAGAGAAGCAGAGCAGCCAGCCACCAGAGACTTCTTATCTATACGAAGTCTCAGACAAAATGGTTGTTCCGATCTCTATGAATCTTCAGATTGAATGGGTGCTGAGATCCTGTCTGCACCTGCCTTATATTCCTGTCTCCCTAGTGTTGGAATTAAAGATGTGTACCTCCCAAGTGCTGCAATCAAAGCCTTGAGAACCCAAGTGCTGTGATCAAAGGCATGAGATTCGAAGCACTGGGATCAAAGGTGAACACCACCACCAAGAAGCTCTGTTTCTCTTTTAAACTGGTTCAATCTCGTGTAGCCCAAGCTGGCCTTGAACTCCTAATCTCCCTGATTTTTATCCCCCAAATGCTGGGATTAAAAGTGTGTGCCACTGCTATCTGGCCTCTATGGTTAACTGATGGCTTGCTGTACCCTCTGATTTCCAGGCAAGCTTTATTTGTCAGAAAACAAACAAAATATCACACAACAGGCTACTTCTAGCTGCAGATGGGCACAGGTGTAGAGGCCCATGACCAGGCATTATGAGAGAGAGAGCCTAAATTGGAGGTGTATGTTGTGTCCCTTCCCCCAAGAGATTGGGGGATCCTGCAGAAGAGAGGGAGGAAATATTGTAAAAGTCAGAGGGGATGGAGGACACCAAGAGAACATGCCTAACCATGTCAACCAGTGAGCATATGGGCTCTAGGAGACTGAAATGGCAAGCACAGGGTCTACAATGGTTCTGCACCACATCCTCTGCATATATGTCATCAGTGTGTGATATTTTTGTGGGACGTGTCAGTGGGAAAAGGTGTGTCTGTGACTCTTGCCTATTCTTGGAACTCTTTCCTTCCTATTGGGTTGCCTTGTTAATTCTTGATATGAGGGCTTTTGCCTTGTCTTATTGTATCTTGTTTTGTCCTATTTGGATATTGTCTCTTGGAGGGCTGTTCTTTTCTGAAGGGAAACACAGAGAGAGTGGGTCGGGGGATGGGGGAGATGAGGAGAAGCTGGCAAAAGTGGAAGGAGGGAAATCTGTGGTTGGGATGTATAGTAACAGAAAAATCTATTTTCAATAAATTATTTTAAATAAAAAATATTTAAACAGTGAAGAGTTTACCACTTGCAACCTCCACATCACACAAGTACTCAACAAGTTCATGATGGAGGACACAATATTTTCAAAAATATCTCCAACATGTTCTGTACAAGCATGCTTGAATATGTCAAAAAGGCAAAGATACCATTAACTGTGTTTAGAGAATCACTGAACAATCAATGCAATTGGCAAATATGAACTGAGATGTAGTCATGTATTTTTTTTTTTCTGGAGATGTCTCTATGTAGGTGGACTTTTCTTTCTTGCCTGCCAGTTCCCAAATAACCAACATGGATACTTAATATAAATAATAAATACTTGGCCAAAAGCTCAAGCTTATTACAAACTAGCTCTTACAACTTAAATTAACCCATTTCTGTTAGTCTATGTTTTGCCATGTGGCTCCTGGCTTTACCTGTCATCCATCATGTCTTCCTCCCTGTGTGTCTCCTGGCAACATCCCCGACTCCAACCTCCTTTTTCCCAGTATTTTCTCTGCCCCCCAAATTCTGCCTAGCTATCAGCTAGTCAGCTTATTATTAGCATGAGAGCAATACATATTTACAGTGTACAAAGATTGTTCCACAATCTCTCTAAACTTATTAAATTGTATCTGTGTCACTGTTTAAAAAGTGGGTAAAACATACATGTAAGCATGCAGAAAAAAAAGATGTGCAAGACCATTGATGGCATTTGTTCCCTTGCAGTCTACATAGCACCTTTCAGCACTATGAATGATAGACAGCAGAGTGGATATTTCCACATCAGTTTCAGTCTGATTGCTTTGTATCTTGGATCCAAAGTATGTGATATCTTTAGCAATGGGGTTTTACCCTCTGCTTTTTGTGGCTAACCAAGGACAATTTGCCCCTAGACTTTTAGCCTCCTTTATAGATTTTCTGCATTTCATAGTCTAAATTAAAGACTTCTTCCCTCATTGCTAGTTTTAATTTAAGTTTTCTTATTGGGGAAGAAACCCTACTGGAGTTTGAAGCAGACTTTTGCCTAGACCTTGCCAGTTTATGATTTTTTTATTGTGTCCAATATCTTCCCCAGGTATTCTGCATTGTTTCTCTTCTGCTTTATGTTTGTTTGTTTTAGAGTACTATGTCATCTAATTTTTTTTCATTCTTAGGACCCACACACCCATGCTGTTACCCTTGGATAGTATGTACAATTTCAATCAAGTTCAGGACTCTTAAAATAATTACTTTGATATCCATCCTTTGTTTAAAATTGAATAAATTTGTGTGCAAAGTGTAAAGGGAGCCAGAAAGTCCAACAGAAAAATCCAAAAGGAATGGGAGCTTAGCCCCAGCCCAGATGGGAGCACAGAGTTTGACGCTGAAGATATGGAAGATATGGCATACTGTGAACAGAGTTGAAAGAGATTTTACTAGTTAAGTCTTGGTCTGCATGATTTGGAAAAAGGCACCATCAATTTTGAAAAGCCACATTTTGAGAATCAAAGGACACCACTATACCTTATGATGTATGTTAACAATGGCCTTTCTAAAGGCATCTGATCAAGGTTTTAGCCAAATCTGTTAAAGAAGGATAGGAAAAATTAAGTTTTTTCCAGAGGTTTTCTCATGTATATTATACATAACTGTCAGGAGCTATGCAGCTTAGTCTCAGATAAACATATGACTATCTGTCCAGTGGTTTCCTTGAGGCAAGACTCCCATAGAAATGGATTCTCGCTTGGCAAATACCTGGACAACATAGGAATTCGCAAACTTTGTGCAGCTTGCAAGCTCTTTTCTCTCTCATATATTGTTGAATCTTTGGTGGTTTTTATTTCACTTTATCAGTCACACATGCGACAGTTGTAATTTTCCCTGAAAACTGTGTTTTTCTTGAATGTTTTCCCCTAAGATTCAGCAAGGGGCTAATGCTTCTCAAATTTCTTATCTTGAATTACTAACTACAACTCCTAATCCTGGGAAATTTTCTGACTCAATAGAGACAGTTTGACTCATATAAGAAAACAATGCTTGGAACATTAACCATGTCTCACAGTTCTGGAAAGGAGAGTAAGGGATGTATACACAGAATAGGAAAAAGGTCTGTGGAATACACATAGTACCAACTGAGAGTAAGTTCCCTGGACAACAAACATATAGAATCAATGATAGGATCTGGTGTGATCCAATAGGAAAAATGCAATACAAAATATGGGATAGATTCATCTTTACCATACATAGGAGCTTACTATGTTGGTAGAAGAAATATTGTATAGTGGGATAGGAAAAGAGTGCTTTATCAAAGTATGCCTTTTATAGAGAGATGGAGACTCTATTGTAAAGAAGGGAATTGTAGAAAAGCATATCTTACAGACATGAAAGAATTGTTTGGGTTTGAATATTCTTGTTCTTAAAGCAATGTACCCACATCTATTACTTTTGAACTTTGTAACTGCAAGTGGCTGCAAGCTAACATGAGCGTTGCAAGAGCAGGCTGTGATTGGCTTGATATTTAGTTAAGCCTGCAAAAGTGGTGAACTCTGTATCTAGAATAAAGTTATGTAGGGAGTAGGAAAGTGTGTTCTTTGGGGAAAGATGAAGAGGAACAATGGGGGCTTTATGATGACTACCATGTATTTCTTAAAATATATTGTATTTCTTAAAGGTTAAAAATGGGAGCCAATAATAAAGCTGTTCATGTAAGCCTGGTAGAAAAAAACTCTGTTAAAATATAAATAAATATGCTTGAGCTATTTTGGGCCACTTGGGTGCAATCTACCTGGTAATCAGATATCTTCCTTGTACCAACACCCCTTCCCCATTTCAGGACCCAAACCCAGGCCTAAGCTGAACTCTGACACATAACCAATAAAATAATTGAGTCCAGATTTGGAAATAAATGGTTATATCTAAAGCAAGAACAAGAAATAGATGTTTAATGCTTAACTCACCAAGACTATTGTTTCATTTTATTAAACCTACCAGCAAATCCCAGAATATTGTGAATTAGAGAACCCTTAATTGAATTTTTAGGCATCTTGATAAAAAACACAGAAATACCCTTTTCAATAACAAATACCTTTACATTCCTCTAAATTGTTGTGATTATTCTTACTTGTTCAAGATAAGTATATTGACCACTTCTAACATTCATGTGGAAGAAGTGTCAACATTCCACATGCCTCCTTCAAGCACTGTCTTCATTCATTTTAAGGGTAGATTATTTACACCAATTTCCTATCATCACAATGACACCTTTTTTTGTTAGCACACTGTTCATTGTCAGCTTTGGCTGTTGTCAAAATAATTCTCCCATATTGATATGTTTTATAAAAATCATTTTGTAGTATTATATCCGTGTGTTTTGTATCAATGTGTTTTTTTTTAACTATTTTACAGCGTTAGTAGGTCGTTGTCACCTATTATGTATGGTTGATATATCAGTCATGGAACCAGGTGATGCAAGAGCAACGCCAGAGGAGTCACTGCTTTTATGACTTCGAGAGAAGTACCTTTGATTCGAGAGGAAGCTTGGAAGTTAAAAAGGCAACTCAGAAATGAAGTGTCAAGTCAAATTCAAGCCAGTGGCCACCAAGGGTAAAGACAGTACATGATGTAGTGTTCATATACCTCTTTATTTTCATCCACCTTAGTGCTGGCAACATCGCTCTCTTTGGCTTCACCAGGGCCCCTATTTTGTTTCATACCATTGTGAGCTACACATCTGTCTTACCACAAGCTCTCTGCATCACTGTGTTATACGCTGTTTCTGCATTCTCTCTGTCTTGACCTCAGCTAAGAGCTTTCATCTTCTACCTTCCTCTCAATATACGAATATTTCATTCTGGTGGTACCATGCTCATGAAGTCCACATTCTCTGAGGATGCTACAAGCAGATAAAGCAAACTTATCAACTTCTATCTTTGCTTAGAAGAACATTCTCACACCCCACATGGGTATTAAAGTGATCTGAAGTTCTCTACCCAAATGGAATGAAAATCTCTTATACATTTGCTCTGAATCTCACTGGCATTAATTTTCAATGATGACTAGAATGAAAAAGAAATATTCTTCTTCCATAAAGACCTAGCTAAAATTTCCATGTTTTTGATAAACTACATAGTTTTATATTCATGTGTTGCCTTATTACTTTGTCTTTTCAATAGTTACCTCATTTTATCAATTTATTTATTAGAGAAAGTGATTTTTTAAGGAAATATGTGAAATGTATTTCACTTAACATTATTTATGATATACGTCTCTCTAAAGATAACACATGATCATCCTTCTAGCAGTCTATGGGGTAAGGGCTTGTATTAGCACAGTCAGTCCTTTTTATAAAGGTACTGTAATAAATTATGTACCGGATAGATGGAATAATTTCATTTATCATAGTTTTCAAGTGGGGGTTTAAATTCAATTTGTTATTTAAATTTAAATTTAAATTTAAATTTGGTTTAAATTCAATTTGCTATTGGGTGAGACCTTGTTCTCTTCTTCATGAACAGTGACTCTATTGTGAATACATATGGAGGAAGAGCCAGCTAGCTTTCTCTGGGGTTCTATTTCATGAACACTGTTCCCACTGATTATGTCTACTTCCTTAGAACCTGATAAGCTCCCTTGTGCTCCACTTACTCACACTGGGATCACATTGGAAGTAATTTTGACTTATAAATTCAAGTGGGAAATGTACATTCAGACCATAGTGTAAATGTACATGCAGGGCATAAGGAGCATCAGTGTAATAACCACTCAAGTCAGGTCAAATTCTAGCCCTGGGGCTTAGGACAACAAAGTAAAAAGCAAAATTATCACCATGGAGAACTTTGCAGTCATCAGTATATTCCTGTATACATATAACCCCTGGAAAAATATATATGCTGTTGGATGATTGAAAACTTCTGTTGTATGAAAAAAATCATTATCTTCATTAATATATATATATATTATATAATATATATACTATTATGTGAAAAAATAATGGTAATAGAAACAAATCTAAAGAGTAGGAGAAAGAAGAAAGTTAGAAATAAGGAAAAAGAAGGGAGAAAAAAACATAAAGCAAATATACTTATAATTTTTTAGATAGCATTGATTATCTAATCTAACCTCTTATCCATCAGCTCATTAACTAATTAGAACCTCATGTATCTTTGTAGTCATACACTCCTAAGGTGCCAATTTCTATTTAATTCAGTATGGCCTTAAGCTAAATTGTTAACCATATTATAAATCTGAATGTCTGTGTCGAAATATTGATGTTTCAGAAGCATCCACACCAAGGACTCATTATCTTCTCTACCATGTGGACTTCATTTCCCATCCTGGGCTTGCTCAATGCATGGTATGTGCAATCTTTGTCTTACAATTGGTAGACAACTATGTCTAATTAGTTAACATATTTAGAGGCATAATAAGTTATTTTTTACATTACAAAATCAAATCAGTCATTGTTTTCTGTTATAAGATAATATTTTAAATCTAAGATCATAAAACTTAAAAAACAAAAATAAAGTTGACAAAAAACTTCAAAGCAAATGGTCCATGAGCTATCATCTATCTATCTATCTATCTATCTATCTATCTATCTATCTATCTATCTATCTATCTATCTACCTACCTACCTACCTACCTATCCATCCAAAATTATTATAAAGTTGATGTAAATTTATTCAGATTTGTAACACTTCTGTAGTACCAACCACTACAAGCTTGCTCATGCTACTTGTCTTAGCACTGACTAGTCACTTTCCTTGACCCTTGTGATCCATTCATTGTGACAGTTTCACATATGCTAACTTGCATGGTCTTTGCCCTATTCAATGTCAATGACTCTGTTTCCAGGGGACATCCTAACACTACCACCTCTGCTGTCACAGACAACTAACATATTTCCTCTTATTTTAAATGCACAAAGTCATTACAATTACTTTCAGTTTTATCACAAAGTTATCTTCTTCTTTAAATAATATTTTGTTAATTCTTTAAGAAATTCATCAGTGTATTTAGAGCATATTCATTTCTCCCCCAGATCCTCCCAGATTCACCTCATGTTCCAACCATCAAACTTTCTGTCTACTTTTTTTCAAGCCAATTGAGTCCAAATTACACTGTCTAAATTATCAATCTACTAAGGTGAAAATCCTTAGAAAAAACTGACTCTTTCCCTCCAAGAAGTTGCCAGTTGCCATTAGCTCCTTGGCTAAGAGGAGGACTTCATGCCTACCTCCTTACTCCATGCTAGGACTTTGTCTGTTTGACTCTGGGCATGTTTTATGCAGGTTACCACAATTGTGATGAGTTCATATGTGCAACTGCCCTCTTGGGTCTGGAAAACACGGTTTTATTGTACTCATCCACCACCTCTGGCTTTTACAAACATTCTGTTTACATATTCTGCAATAGTCCCTGAGCCTTGAGAAAAAGAACTATGATATAAATGTTCAATTTGAAAGTGAACATTCCATAGTCTCTTATTCTCTGAAGTTTGAGCAGGAGTGGGTCTCTGTGTTAATCACCATCTACTGCAAAAAGTTTTCCAAAGAGGTTGAAAGATGTACTAAACTATGGTAAGTCAGCAAATCATTAGGAACTGATTTAATACTGATTTAATACTGATTTAATATGTTCCTTCCTTATACTCGTTCTTCTACCTGAACATCACCCAAATCCCATTTAACCTTTCCTGTCCTTCCCTTATTTACTCATTTCTTAATTTCTTAATGTACAATGACTGGCTTCAATCTTTTATTGTGCCTTTAGGCACCTAGAATAAAGTCTGAATTTCACGAAGGACTTAAGAATTTGTGTGTGTGTGTGTGTGTGTGTGTGTGTAAAATGATTTTTTTCTATATGATTACCAGTATTATTAGAATGATAAGTAAACTTGTCTTTCTGCCTTGGATAGAAATCCTACCAAATATTTCTCTTGGTTGCATTTGCTTTTCAAGCTCTAAACAGAGCTTTGGACAAATCCTAAGCATCAACAGTCCCAGATGCTGTTTCCAGAAGCCAACACCTCATCTTTATAGCCTATTTTCAACTCTAACTGCTTTCCATTATGTAGTCTGTCTTTTTGAAGGATCTCTTTCATTTAAAATTCAATCATATCAAACCTTCTGTCCTGTATTATAGAACACAGGGACATTATTCCAAGGCCTGTGGCTTAATAGGTAGATGAGCAAATGTCCCTTTCCCTCCAATGTTCTGTGTCAAAGATTTCTGAGGATAATTTAGTCTAACACTCCACAAGAGGTTCGAGTCTTTGCCAATGCTTCTGTTTCCTGGAAGAGAATTCCAAATTTTATATCACAGTGTTGCATCAATTATTTATAATTAGTTATTGGCATTTGAGGCCAAATTATTTTAGCGTGAAAATGACTTTGAATAGCCTTTAATACCTGCAGACCTTCCTCAATAATAATAATAATAATCCTTTATTTTGGGTGATAGTTTAGTTCACAGGGAATTTGATGTATCATGATGATACATTTCGTTGATAGTATTATTCTGATCAGATTAAGTGAGGGAAAAAAACAAATCTCAACTTATAGAAAAACACTTGTGTATCTGTGAATGGTAAATAAGTTTTTAAAAAAAGAAGAGTCATGCTCCTTAGTGAAATTTCCAGGGATGTGGTAGTATAGGGCAGATAGAGATATCCCTTCTGAACTGAACAGTGACTTGTTGCATCTGCTCCATCTACTAATTATGAAAGATCCAATGCCTAAGGGAATTCTGTGAATTTTGGAATCTGTTCTTCAGCTGGATGTGTGTATAACTATGACCTACTTCCAGAGAAAGCCCCAAAGCTATTCATTGTGAATGAGTCCTGCAACAATAGGAGGCGTTGTGTCAGGTCCACCTGCTGTGCAATATGCTCTACCACTTCGATCATATGATCCAGCACAGCTGATAACACACGAAGCGTCACTAGAAGATAGACATGCTACTCACAGACTTCTGAGAGGCCCCATTACACCAAATTAAAATCTAATTTGCTAAGCCTTTATGTTTTGTTGAGACAGAATTCAATTTTTTTCTGTAAAAGTTGTAACCAGAGGCTTTTTTCTCTCCTGCCCTGTTCCACAGCCATTTTCAAATAATCACTCAGGGGCTTATATTAATTATAAATGTTTGGTCAATGGCGCAGGCTTATTACTAGCTAGCTCTTATATTTAAATCAACCCATTTCTATAAATCTATGTATCATTCTTTCACATCTTTCTTTTGGGGTGGCTGGCAGTATCTACTCTGACTCCACCCTTCATCTCCATCTTCAGTTTGAATGTACTGCCTAACCTTATTCTGCCTCATCATTGGCCAAACAGCTTTACTTATCAACCAATGAGAGCAACACATATTCACAACATACAGAAATCATCCCACAGTGCAAGTCCTTAGAGTTTGGTTGTTATCTTTTAAAGATAATTTCTCTCCTTTTATAAAACAAGTTTTGGATCCATACTAAGTCTCAGGAGAGACTACACACATAAGCACACTCTACTTAGTGACCATAGGACCTGAGCTGGAATGCACATCATAATGAAGATTGTGCTTGTTTAGATAACCTCTAAGAAAGATCTAAACATAAAGTGAGCTACATAGTAGGATAGCTCAAATGCCAGAGTTCTTCATGACATACTACTTTCTGTTCCCCATCATATACTGGAGCTTCATAGGGAGTCCCTTGAATCAGTTGACCCAGGAAAAGAAAGCAGGATTCTTGATTGTTCTATGTAATGTGAAGGCACAGACTGAAACTGGAAAGTTGTGACAAAACAGTTCATTTCTTGGATTTTCTTCCTCTCAGTGGTCAGAACTTCATCATATCTGGTTTTTCACCTCAAATGAAAAGAAGAAATTGCCACACATACATTTTTCTGCTTCATAAGTACTATCCAGTGCATTGTATGGATGCTCAGGGATTCCCAGAAAGCATGACTAGGAGACTGGAGACAAAAGAAATTGGATATCATGATATATTAACAGACCTTTTAGAATGGAAAGGAAATGTGATGGTTGTATTCTATGTGAACCTCAGCGAACAGAGGAGAATCTTAATAAATGACAAGGGGTGGTCTCTGTGGGTGTCAATCATCCTCTTTCTATATCCAACCCTGTATTTGACCTAAGAAGTCATGAATAAACACAGCAAGGAGAGACAGTATACATACGCTTAACAACATGGACTTCAATTCTATGGCCATGATAAAGGCCCACGTCACCCATGGCAGAAGCCAATATAATGTCCCTGATATGGCACTTGTGGTTTTTGTCCCCCCTAGACTCATGTGTTTGCATTCTTGGCACATAGGCAATGGCACTATTAGGCTTTGTTGGAATAGGTGAGGCCTTGTTGGAGGAAGTGTGTCCCTGTGGGTGTGGGCTTTGAGGTCCCAGATGCTCAAACTAGTGTCACTTTCACTTCTGCTCCTGCAGATTAAGATGTAGAACTCTTGGCTCCCTCTCCAGTACCATGTCTGCCTGCATGCTGCCATGTTTTCCACAGTGAGGAAAATGAACTAACTTCTAAAACTGTAATCCAGACCCAATTAAATGTCTTTCTTTATAAGAGTTGCCATGGTCATAGTTTCTCTTCATAGCAATAGAAAGCCTAAAACAGCAATCTTTCTCACTGTGATCAACCAGCTCCATGACTGCTGGTTGATTAGATTTGACTGCTTCCTTGTGGAAAGCACAATATTTTTCTCTTTCTAAGATAGAAAATATAGATAAGAATTTGCCAAACTTACATTTAATTTTTTTTTCCAAAAACTACCCAGCCATAGACTTACCAATTGTCTTTATCTATTGTCATCTTTATCCTCATTAAGGAATTTGTGTCATAAGAAATAAGCATGTTATTAAGCACATGATCAGAGATTTCCCTGACCTTACCATCTTACCACTGTTCAAATGCATCCTATTTGACCAGACTGAATAGCATTATGAAGACTCACCAATGGTACCATTTAGGTTTTAGAGTAACAATGGAAAAATGGTACGACTATGAATGTCCAGATTTTCTTTTACCACTATGACTACTTCATGGAGAGTAGTTTTTTGATTCCTCTCATGATGGTTTATTAGAGCACTGGAAGTCCATAGTGATTTGAAGGAAGAGTACACAGAAGGTCCCATTCTTATACTTGGAGTGCAAAATGAGTTCACTGCCCACAGCAGCACATAACCATGATGGAGACAGGATCCTCCTATGGCTATAGACAGAAGATTGCTCTAGCTTCTGACCTAAGTAACCCTTTCTGCATCACAATTAGCAATTCACTGGCTCTCTTCTCTACATTTGATATTTTGAAATGTTTTCATTTCTCTTTCCATAGGCAATTTAATTATTTTCTCTTCAGTAGCACTGCACACAATTGAGTCTGTTTCATCAGGAAACAGTCAACAACAGCAACAACTAAACTCTACTGGGCCTCAGTGGCCCAGTAAAAATAATAAATACACTGTGTAAAGCAAAATAGAAATTAGAAGAGGACAAATAAAAATTTCAAGACTTCCATAAGTAATAATTGGCAAAACTAGGAATTCTAATTTAAGTATTAGGTATTTTTATCCTAAATCTGCATTATACTGTTCTATATCTATCCTTTTTTATTTACAACATTAATATTGTGGTAATCATGGATTTTTGCTTTGAGTTATGAAATTATTACATTTAACTACTATTTCCCTCAATAGATGTGTTTTTGCTTCCATCTGTCTTTTGATTCTTTTCTATTATCTGTTCCTCCTTAGCCTGACCCTGCACAGTTTCTGAAAAGTTGAGTTTAAATATGTATTCTATAAGGAAGTTGGATACAGAAAAAAAATAGAAAGTAATAGAAGATGAAAAAACCAGCATGCTTCACTGGACCAGAAGAATGAGAATAAATTTAACAAAAGACTCCATCTTTCAAAAAAAGACTACAAAATTGTGAAAGGAGTGACAAATGGTTCTAGACCAGAGTCACAGGTAAGAGACAGGACTCCCTTGGTAGAGGAAATCTCGAATTTCATTTGGCAGAATACCTGTTTCTATCCTCTTTGTTCAAAGCAAGTCATTAGATTTCAAAGGAGGCCAAAGGTAGAACATCTGTAAAAATGTTGAATGTCAATGGGTGGCTTGGGAGCTTTAAGTAGGGGGTAGAATCTTGCAAATCTTCTCCCAGAAACAGTAAGAACTGAGCATGACAACTTTAGTATATTGCACCATTGTTAGCACCAAGAAAAATTTTTTGTGTGGAATTCTGTAGCAATGGGGCTGGCAAGTGACAGTATGTTTTCTTGAATTGTTTGCTTGCTATTGCTGGGATGTGAGCCTCAACTTGATAACTATGGAAACTCTGTAATATAACTATACTTGGAGAAGTAGTGATTCTCAAATGCCATTCCAAATTTTTGCTCTTTGTTGTTTTCCTTTTGACTACAGCATATATTCTTAATAATGAAAGGGAAATCCACGACCATCCTGACCTGCTGTCTGCCCATCTCACAGGCTTATGTCAGCTTCTTCAGAGACTACAGGGCCATCCAGCTCTGAGTTTTGGCAGTTTGTGCAAAGAAAGGCTAAGCCTGGGGAGAAACGGGTGGACAGCAAGCAAACAGAATCACAAAAGCCTTTTCTAGTAAAAAGCACATTCTCTGACCAACATTTATACATATCTCTAAGAGTAAATAAAACAGAGCAGGGTCACCTGGGAGTAGACTAAACAGGATCTTCTGGCCTCAGCCTCAGACAACGATACATTTTTCTTCTGCACATCCAAACAGAAGGAATGAATCAAAAAAACAAGTTCTTTCATCTACTTTATTGCCTCCAACAAGGTTTCATTATTAATGGAAATTGTTATTGAAAAACTTCTTTCCCCCATGTATTGTTTATATTCCTGTTTAAATTCAAATTTGAGCCAGCAGCTAGGGAAATAAGATTATTTGAAGTGTATGGCAAAAATCTCATATGCCAAAGCCTGATTTATCGAGAAGCGTAAACCCTGAATTATACACCTCCTACACACTTGAAATTGAACTGCCCACAGCTCGGTGAGGCTGCCCACAAGGTGTCTAATGACTGATATGCCAGTGCTCATTTAACAAGAAAAGAAACCAAATAGAGCGTAACTGAAACCTGGGTACATTTTGTTTTTGTTTTGTTTCAGAGAGCTGTCAGATATTTCAGTCCAATCTTAAAGTTGTTGCTTCCCTTTATTGCAAGTCGACTTTGGAATTTTAGTTACCTCTTGCTACAAAAGGTTTCAGTTTACAGGGTGGCAGGAAGAAAGAAGATCGATGGTTCCTGGGTCTGGTTGGTCATACCAATTTGTACTGCAATCTAGGGACTGAAGTCTCTGAATTTTAGTTTAAACGTTTGGAAGTTTTAGAAGAGAGATGTGGTCTGCATACCACTGTAGATCAGCACGGAGAGTTTCTCTGCAGGTTGAGGCATCCATCAGACCTGTACACATGGGCATTTCATGGGTTGGAAAAAGGAAAGAAAAGAAAAGACAGGGTAAGATCAGAGGAGAAATGAGAAACAAAGGAAAGTAAATAGGTAGAAGAGGAGGCAGAAAGGTCCACTAATGCTCTTCAAGAAATCTCAAAAATAACTATTAAATTTTTCCAACGATGAGAACACATAAATACAAAACATTATTGGTTTAATATTAAACAAAATAAGTTATTCAGTAGTATTATTTGATAAATATATGCTTGATAAGAGTCTTCTAATCATTAAACTCCTAGGTATACTGCACATTACACATGCATTATATTACTGGAATGAATTTCTTATTAATCCACATTAACAGTTTTTGGTTCATAAACCTTAACATTGAAATTTTGAAATAGTTACATTTCAGTATCATAACTTAAATGTTTACTTCCAAATAATCACACTAAATTAATAAAACTCGGCAAAGTTCTCTGATTTTATAATCTAAACCCATCTCAAAATTTGATATTCATCGCCTTGCTTATCTTTTGAGACAACTCATATGCCATGGTACTTTACACATATAATTGTTTTATGATTACTTGCCTTTTGTCTTCTGAAAAAGCTAATAAAGACAGTAAGAACTAACACCTTTTCTTGGTGACAAAACAAATTTTTATAACTGATTTATAAAACCTGATCTTTGGCCATATGTATTTGAACTAGGGTTTCTGTTAAGAAGAAATGGAGTTTTCAGAATAAACTTTGCCCTGCTTAACAAAAACACCAAGATGTCTTTTTGTTTGTCTCTACAAGGCATAAGATTTAAAATTATATATATATATATATATATATATATATATATATATATATATTTGTATGCCTGCACATAGATTTTACATACAATATTACTCTTCCAGATGCTATCAGAATTGTCCCATTGCAGAGAGGGGCCTATTAAGAGGAAAGGTAAAAAGAACATTTACTCATAGAAAAGAATCATAATCAATGTGATTTAGCATCATTCATTTGTGATTAAGGAAATCTCACAGCTGCCAGCCAAGAATATTTGCATTAATTCTGATTCTGCTCCTACAGTCATTATCATGACTTTCTGACACTAAGGACATTCAATAAGATGTGGTTATGGTGCCAGAGTAGATTGGGACCCTCAATGACTCTCTGTACTCTCTAGAGAGCACATCCAACAAACACTGTGAATTTAAAACACTACAAGCATGAAAAAATTTAAGGACTATTAGAAACTTGAATTGATTTCTTAATTTTCACATTGTAAAAAGTAACACATTGTACTGACGTCCAAAAATATCAAATGAAAAAAAAATAGAAATACTGAATGCAAATTTTTGAGCATAGTGCTTTTGTTTCCTTAGGCTTGTCCCTTGTATGTCCCAGCATCAACATGCCCCAGCCATTGACCGGTTCACAGTCTCAGAATTTAACATTCAATCTCCATTTAATTTTCCCAAATTTTCTTGAGTACTTTCAGTAGGGATCATTTTAATAGAAACATTTGAATTACCCCATTCCACCTATAAAAACTGCCTAAATAAAGAATAATTATTTTTTTAAAGGTGGTCGTATTGGATGAGCATTCAGAGTGACTGAGTATATGGCACTATTCTGCATTAGCACTTTAGTTTTCATGAAAACATTATATTGAGTAAGTCAAATATCTCTGCTACTAATTTAAAATGGTAATGAGCAGCTTAAAAAAAACAGTGCAAAGAGGAATATAAAGGACCCTCACGTCAACTTCAATAAAAGACGTCTTTATACTGGCTTGGGCTTTGATTTTATTGTTCTTACAAAGAATAGTAAAGTTGAAATATTTATGTAATTAAAGAAGGCCATCAAATGAAGTACATTGACTTTCGAGATGAATTAGCTCATGGGTACTTGTTATGAAACTTAAACTATCAAAAAACAGGTTTTCAAAATCAATAAGTTACACCCCCTCACTCCAAAAGAGTGAATTTCTGAGGGATTTTTTTCAAGTGTTGTATTAAGATCTAAAGAAATCACTTTGATCAAAAACATACCATTGTCACATCGTTTTCTTATAAATGACAAATGTTTTTCACTTCTTATTGGAAGATGATATAATATAACATAAGCCTAATATAAAATTGCTCATCTATCTGAGACTCCATAAGTGGAGGTAAAGGTATCTCAGTTTTCCTGTAAGGCAGAATAACTGCCTGCATATGAGAGTGCACCGTCTTTAAAGAGAACGCTGAAATGACAGATTTTTCACATTTTATGGACAGGAGGTTTTAGGGAATAAATATTTAATATAGATCTGTTAAAGGAAGCAACTTACATCTTAGTTATAAGTGTCATCTGGAAGAATCACTTCAAATGATGAAAGCCATTGAGCTTGGATTTGAAGCATAAGAGGTGGATCCAAAGCCACAAGAGGGCAGCAGATGGTGTGAAACTAATGAAGGAGCTGATGGCTGTGGACTGACTGGGAGTGAAGGCTTGTTGATGAACAAGGCGTGGTTTACACAGTGAATATGAGAAAGCATAGGAAGAAGGTAAAACAGAGGATAGGGAGGGGAGTCATGGCTGGAGAGAAAGGAGGAGACAAGGAAAGACAATGGGAAGGAGTCATGAATGGAGAGAAGGGAGAAGGGAAGACAGGGAGTGAGGGAGGCATGATATATAAAAAGATGCACAACTCCGTGTGTGTGTGTGTGTGTGTGTGTGTGTGTGAGAGAGAGAGAGAGAGAGAGAGAGAGAGAGAGAGAGAGAGAGAGAGAGAGAGAGAGAGAGA